AGCTGTAAGATTGATTTGTTCCTGGGATATTTAATAACGCTGCTCTGTGGTCTAGTGGTCAGCGTTCCTGGCTACAGATCCTAAGGTCTCGGGTTCGATTCCTGGCGCTACCAGATTTTGTGAGAAATAGTGGGACTGGAACGGGATCCACCCAGCCTCGTGAGCATAATTGAGGAGCTATTTCAAGGAAATAGCGGCTCCGGTCTAGAAAACCGAAATTAACGGCCGTGGGGATCCGTTGCGCTGAGCACGCGACACCCTCTCTCCGTTAAATTTGGCACTAACTTCGCCGACAAGCGGCGGTCGCTTGGTCGGTATCGTTCGCTTGCGTGCTCAAGCCACGGAGTAAATAAGAAATAAGAATACAAAAAGGATTGTCATAACATGAATGTGTTGGTACTGACAGGAGTCTCCACGGGTCCCTCCATCTGTAAAGCCGGCCTTGAATTCTCTAATCATCTCTACGATACAGCCTCAGACCCTAACAGCGTCTTACGTAAGTCATAAATAAATAGGTCCCAGAGCCGCTTTGGAAAAAGATTTCTCTCACTTCCGGGAATGGAAGTCCGGACCTCCAGCCTGGAACCAAATCATTATACTAACTTAGCCATCCCTGCAATGTAAAGCTAAGTTGGCTGCAGTAGGAAATGTGGAACAGACATGTCCTATGCGGACAGCTGTCCATTGTATAGACATGAATGTGAACTTTTGCAACTGATTTACTGGCTCCACTTTAGGGTAGAAGAAATGCCGCTTCCACTCTGAAGCTGCAAATAGCAGGTCCTTCTGAGACGTTGATACCCATTTGGCAGATTCTGAAACATCTCATCCCAGAAGGCTGCAATTGTGCCACCGCCGTATGACTCTCAGAGCGAGCCACGATAGCTCAGTCGGTATAGCTACAGGCTGAGGGATTGACGGGCGGGGTTAGATTCCCGGCAGGGGCACAGCGTCTAGGGTCCACCCAGCCTCACATCCAGCGGTTACCTTGGACTCTCCTCTCGGGCACAGCGGCTGTGCGTGAAAATAACCACTCACCTCCATTTAGTGTCGGGGTCAAGAATGGTGGATGCGAACCTCCACTCCCTATACGTCCTCATGGCTTGGTGCTTAATCAAGCAGGGAGACAATTTAATCTTATTTTTTAGTATATTTTTCTTATTACCAAAGAATAAAAGGGGCTGATGAAATCGCCTTCCTGTCTCCGTGTCTGTGTACCTGTGTTCATCCCAGTTTTTAGTCTTCTATGCGGTCCGAGTAGTATCAAAAAAAGTAGGCGATTAGTTCTTCCCATGACTCTTGTTTTGTATGCCCCCGAAATCTCAAATCTCTGTTGGTTCAAAAATTGTTATTGGGCATAAAAGCAGGCGAACACACGGATTGACTCTTAAGCACATATTTATGAAATAAGTTATGTCGGCTGCAAGGGAAACTTGAAAAATACGACACACCGGGGAGAATTTCTGTTTCCACCGAACCTGAAAGTCCTTTTCAGTCTATTTAACATATTTTGAAAACAAAAAAATAAAGTAGGTTTATGCAATTTCCATTCTGTTTGTGTATCCTGTATATCCCCTCTATCAACTTCTGAATATCTGAACCCATCTTTATGAAATTTGGTATGTATGTCATGACACCTGAACCCATTTCATCAGCGTACTTCATACATCTCTCCCATCAGTCTGTGTGTCTCTGTGTGTATCCTCATACCGTTCGTACACAACGGCTCAGTAAAAATATCCCTTTCGTTATCAGGCAACGGTTCAGCAAAAAACGTTACCGCGGCAATTAATACACACGCAACAATAGAATAATCAGATTCTAAAGGGTTCTGACGATGGTGGATGACACAAAGAATTACTGGGTATTTTAGACTTTTTATCGTCCGGAATTCTAAGTAATAGAGGACATTCTAACCTAGAGTGTCCTCTATTACCTAGAATTCCGGGCAATAGAAGAATTGTTGAACGTGTCGTTTTCTATACTGTCCATGTATCAAGAGGTGAATGCGATCAGTTCTTCCAGGAATTTCTTGTGTATGGACTCCTATTTTGTACCTTCCGATATCCAGGTTGGGTCTTCTAAAGTTTTTTTTGTATGCCGAACTTAACTTAACACATAGCTCCGAATTTAAATAGTAGATGGGCCCATTCTAATCGTTGTTATACGCATAGGCTCGGGTAGCGTAGTTGTTTGAGGCACTATTCTACAAGCCGGGAGGTCGCAGGTTCGATTCTCGATGAGGTAATTGAATTTTTCAATTGACCTAATCCTATGGCCCTGGGGTCGACTCAGCCTCTAACATAAATGAGTACCAGGAATCTTCCTGGGTGTAAAGGGCGGCCGGTGCGTAAGGCTGACAACCTAACCGCCATCTGTTAGTCGACTTTCTAGAAGAATGTGGGAGCCTCGACGTCTTACAACCCTATGGACCTCCACGGCCTGTTACAGGGATAGCTTCACCTATTTTTACGCACAGGCTCGCGAATGTTTGAAAGGATTCGAGATAAAATGGATTGACTTTGGATGCACATACTTTATAGTAACAGACGAGAAATTAACACAGGACCATTGGGCAACTATTGCTCGATATACACTGACGTCTACTGTTTTCTGGTATGTGACGCCGTGTAGCTTCATCGGCTTTTCGGAGGAAGGTGCTACCGTTATCTCCTACCCTGGAAAATTTATATAAACCACGACATTTCTTATGCAATTTTCCGCCATGTCAAATTGTTCATTTGCTTCACTTTTCCTGAGCTGTTTCTGAAACAACTTTCAGCTGTCGTCCTCGTCAAATAGTGATGTAGATCGTTACGTAATCATGGAAATTTACCAGATTCTGTATCCGAACTTCGATGGGAACAGAAACGACCATACCTTAGCGCTCATTGAACGCACAGGAAGTTTCTGCGGCAAGTTTAACTGCTAGAGCTGTGGCGTACACTCAGTTGAACGCACAGGAAGTTTCTACAGTAAGTTTGCCTGCTAGAGCTGTGGCGTACACTCAGTTGAACGCACAGGAAGTTTCTGCAGTACGTTTGCCTGGTAGAGCTGTGGCGTATACTCAGTTGAACGCACAGGAAGTTTCTACAGTAAGTTTGCCTGCTAGAGCTGTGGCGTACACTCAGTTGAACGCACAGGAAGTTTCTGCAGTAAGTTTGCCTGCTAGAGCTATGACGTATACTCAGTTGAACGCACAGGAAGTTTCTGCAATAAGTTTGCCTGCTAGAGCTGTGGCGTACACTCAGTTGAACGCACAGGAAGTTTCTGCAGTACGTTTGCCTGATAGAGCTGTGGCGTATACTCAATTGAACGCACAGGAAGTTGCTGCAGTAAGTTTGCCTGCTAGAGCTGTGGCATACACTCAGTGGCAGAGAATCTGTTGAATATACAGTAGAACTTGGTTATAACGTCATCAAAGGGACCTAAAAATAGTGTCGTTATAAACGAGTGTCGTTGTAACCGAAATGGGCACTTCCACAGTAGCCTTATGTTAGTCATGTAAAAATCCACCAAAAACCGAGTTAAAATGTTACATTTTTTAGTGAAATACGTAGTTAAGTACAGACTAACGTAACATTAACGTGGAATTGCCCAAATGTGTAATATCAAAGACATATTACAGCGCTTTTCACTGACAATACACACCGCACTAATACTGTATATTAAAGGTAGATCTACTCACCAAATTACAGTAGATTACATCAATTGTTGTGCCTTACTGTACCTAGATACGAGTACAGTAATCAGTTATCTTCATCTGTTTCCTGTTACTTGCCCAATACACACTTTCTAAATTACGTTCAATGTCCATATCAGAGAAATTCAGGGATGAAAATGACGTTACATACGAGGTTGATGCATTTGTGCATGTCGTACTAAGCAAGGTATAAAAACAGTTGTTTTATGAGGAATTAGTTCGTACCATTGAATATTTGACGCAATAGACAAGGTGTCGCAGAAACCGATGTTGCTATAACCAAGTTTTACTGTATTCGGCTCCCAAAGAACGAGACCGGGTTTCAAAAGAGAGCGCCGAAGAGAATATTTACACTAATGAAGAAGGAAGAAAACGGAAGAAGATAAATTGCTGAATGAGGAGCTTCACCTTTGCAACACGAAGCTCACCTAAATAATATCTAAAAGTTCAGGTCCCACCCCACAGAAAACGCTGCGTTTCCCTTACAAGGACCATCCAGTTAATGCTGTTTGGGAAACACGACTATAATTATAGTCGTGTTTCCCAAAATCGCTGTTTATTCTAAAACATACACAATGCGTGGTTTCTGACTGGTAAAGCAGGTGGTAACCATTATGTATTCAAGGGTTAAAAATGTGGTGTCGGTTAGATTTATCGGGTTCAGGACAGGGATGAGTGACGGAATTTTGTTTATACGGTAATGAACTTCCGGGTTCCATAAAGACGGGGAATTTGTTAATTACTGAGCGACTAGTAGCTTCTGAAGAAATAATCTTTTCCGTGAAGCTAATCATCATCATCTTCTTCTATTCCCGTTGCTCCCACTTGTAGCATAGAGCATCCGTGAAATGTTCGTTTCACTTCAGTTTCTTAATCTTATATAGTCGGTAGTTCTCCTTGGACGGGGGATCAGCCCGTCGCAAGTCCGCTACCTAGTACAAACACAGAATAAATGCAAACATATCCATGCCTTGAGTGGGATTCGAACACACGATCCCAGTATTCAAGCCGTCGAAGACGTTTCATGACTTTGTGATCGGCGAAGCTAGCTTAGGATGATAATAACATTTTGGACTGAACCACAAGAAATATCTCCTGGATGTTTTATTGTAGTGCCTGAAGAAAAGACGTAATTCGGCACAGGAAAGCCGACCTTGAGATTCGACTCGGAATCGTCAAGGATCTGGAACGCGCGGAGTTGCATCTCAAACGGATTAATCCGTGACGTCGCAGGTCAAGGTGGTCACGGAAGGCCGCGTAGCGCGGAGAATCATCTCAGAGTGGTGCATGCGCGCGAACCGTGAGCATGGTGTTCCCTGTGCTGCTCCTGCTGTCTGCGAGTTGGGCCGCGGCTGCGCGCGACTGTCGCCCAGAAGACGTGCATTTCGAGCTGATCACGGGTTACGTTTACAGCGCTCCCGGCGAGATCATAACGACCAGCCCTGGCGTGCTGCTTCTCAGGGATTGTCTGGAACAGTGTCGCCTCAATGACTTGTGCCGGGCCATCAACTTCGAGACGGGACTCTGTGTACTGTTCGCCGGAAGCCACGCCGATCAGCCAGGTACAGACATAACACTGATCTTCATTTGTTTCAGTGACAAGTTTGTGGTCGAAAATGTGAAATCTACGTTACAGACACAATGAGTGGGCCTCGACATTATTTTTGTCTCAGAGATATGAAACGAAATATGGAAACAGGTATATTGTAAATGCGAGTTAAAATGTAAAGTTGTCTCCAAGCTTTGGTAAGTACAGCGCCATGAAGACATATGAGGAACTGGACGTATAGTTAGTTCCAGGTATTCTTAACCTTTGCACTAGATGAAGCGACTGGTCACTTTCATGCTCCTGCCTTTTTACCCCAGTAAAAGGAACCTGGAACACATTGGAGATGGGAGTAAATGGGCCTCAGGGTCGGTATGAACGCTGTGAAGATCAGAAATATCTGTCGCTTCTACCGGAAGTCTAACCCTGGTCTACCTAACCCCGTAGCCTTGTAATTATACCAACTGAGCTATTCCGGATCTGAATGAAAGTTTCATACATTAATTTTATATCCACAATAGGAGCCGGGATAGCTCAGTCGGCATAACGAATGGCTATGGGCTGGACGACTGAGGGGTCGGAGTTCGAGTCCCGGTAGGGTGAAGAATTTTTTCCCACGTCGTCCAGACCTGTTCTGGTCTCCACCTAACACCCTATCCGATGGGTACGTTGGGCTCTTTCCCCGGAGGTAAAGCGGCCGGGGCGTGAAACTGACCACTCACCTCCAACTAGTGCCGAGGTCAAGAAACTGGATCTATACATCCACTCTCCATACGTCTTCATGGCGTAGTGCTTAATTCGTTAAGCACAGGGACAACTTTACCTTTAAGGAGAGTCAAGTTTCGAGATGGTGATTAGAAATTGGGTTTAGTCGTTTATTTTATCGCGTCAAAGCGTGATTCTTTTCAGTAGGATACGAGAGACTGCTATAGAGAAGTGAAATCCATCTTATAAGGAAAATTATAATTTTAAACTTCATTGCAAGTGTTGATTTTTTACACCACCGCCTCTGTGGTTTAGTGGTCAGAGTTCTTGACTACAGATCTAGAGGTCCCGGGTTCGATTCCCGGCTCTACCAGATTTTCTGAGAAGTAGTGGGCCTCGTGAGGATAATTAAGGAGCTATTTCAAGGAAACAGCGGCTCCGGTCTAGAAAACCGAGAGTAACGGCCTTGGGGATCCGTTGCGCTGACCACGCAATACCCTCTAGCCGCAACAGTTGGCACTAACTTCGCCGACAAGCGGCGATCGCTCGGCCTGTATAGTTCGCTTGCGGACTACAGGCCACAGAGTTTGTTTTTTGTTACATTTCAGCGCACGGAATTCTGTAGAAGCAAAAGGCTCCCATCGATTAAAATATCACAGAAAAAATTCTTCCAAACCTTTCTGTTGTTATCTCTTTCTTTGTATTAGTCCCATTTCTATACAGTCAAAATCGGTTTGTAAATAACAATTACTTCTATAAAAATCACTGATATCATATTTTGTAGTCCTTTTTTTCTCAGAAATTGACATTTCCAGAACGTTTATGCGCCTTCTATTTCTGATACAAAAATTAATTCTCGGAAGTTAGTACAGCTATATCAAAATCATTCGAAACAGGAAGTACTAACCTCTTACGTACAGCTTCAAATAATTTTTTAAGTCTTCGGCTACTGAATTGATTTATAATTTGGCAAGTATGACTTGCCACAATTTGATATCTTACATATAGACCTATAAATATACTATCCTCTTTGTGATTCAGTTGAATCATAAAAGCGTGGATTACACTAGAGCGAACGCACCAAAATTAAGCTGAAATATATGATGAAAAACAATGACTGTCAGACAAGCTGACAGACGCGATCTTTCGCACTCTGAGTAGGAGCAGAAACATGAAATTTAACAACTTAAAATCTTACTGGTTTTTAATGAAATATAAGTATAGATCATCGCTTGGCCCCAGCATTCTATTTGACTGGATGGGAACGCCATTTTGTACCAAAGTACACAAGTGTAAATTATCAAGTACTATCTATCATCTATCTATTTCCGGTTGCTCCCACTTGGAGCATAGGACAGCCGTAAAAAGCCTCGTTTCACTTCAGTTTCTTAATCTTAGACAGTCGGTAGTTCTCCTTGGACGGGGGATCAGCCCGACGCATGGCCGATACCTACACAAACAGAATAAACGCAGACAAACATGAATGCCTTGAGTGGGATTCGGAACCACGATCCCAGTGTTCGAGCGAGCGAAGACGGTTCATGCCTTCCCCTGTGATCGGCATGTAGTCTCCAGTTTACTGTTTAGGCAATGGTCATTGCCTGCATTTTTTTTAAATACCGTGAAATGAACGGTAATTGTGTGACAATATCAGCCTGCTATCAGCGTACTTCTTCCAAAAAAAATACTGACAAGTTTTTATGTAAATATTTTGTATGAAATATGTGTATTAAACGTTGCAAAAGCCATTTCATTCTGTCCATAACGGCCCTTTATCGACCCTTTGAATCGCGAGTGAAGCTCAAATCAATCTCTGGCATCTGTTTCAAACGCGGAGCATCATAGATACAAGTAGCCCAGAAAGTAAAATATTCCCGTCCTGAAATATAGTTGGGCACTACATTTTTTTTTCAATGGCTCTTCCAGCCCATTCAGGGCCCTGGCCTCTTATTCAGTTCCGTAATCATTTTTCAGACAGAACTCCTTGGGCGAGTGATCAGCCCGTCGCAAGGCCGCTACCTAAACACCGGACAGCACAAACACAGAATAAACACATACACCGAACATCCATGCCTTGTGTGAGATTCGAACCCACGATCCCAGTTGTCGAGAAAGCGAAGACAGTTCGTGCCTTAGACCGCGCGGCTACTGTGGCCGGCCGTTGGTCACTCCACGGTATTAGTATCCTGTTCCTTTAATTGAGAGCTTTATCTATACTTGTATATAATACAGTCTTTTAAATAAAACACCTCAAAGATTATTGGTTAAACACCACTTAATCTATATTCCGTACATTTATCGCAACACGTTTGGTCCGGAACACTGCGAAGAAAAACAGAAAACAATACACAATACTGTACATCAATCTTAAATTATATTATATCAACCAGAACCCAGCTTGTTTTAAAACAAATAACTGTTCACTTTTACATTTTACATTTTGGAGCTAGGATATTCAGTCGGTTTAGCGATGGGCTTCAGTCTAGACGGCAGTATTTCGATTCCCCGGCGGGGTCAAGACATTTTCCCTTTACTCCACAGCGCCCCTACCAGCTCTGGGATGCGCGCAGCCTCCTATTCAATGGGTAATAGCGGCTCGTTCTTCTGGGGCAGAGCCGCCGGGGCTTGAGGCTGATCACTCACCTCCATTTTGTGCCGAGGTCAAGAATGGCGGGGTTATAACCCCACTTCCCATATGTCTTCATGGCGTAGTGCTTAATTGATTAATTGATTAGACACTGGAAAATTTTACCTTTACCTTACATTTTACGTTTACGTACAGCCAAGCGATACAATACAGTCGGTCGTCTGGTAAATTGCTGTTGGCCCTCGCCAGCAAAGATCATTCTTGTTTCCGTGTCCAGCGGGAACCATAACCACATTTTTGTGTCCCGCTGCTCTATCAGTCGTACAACTGACCCACCTACAGTGCTGTGTAGCAGTTTGGTGATCATATTCCTGATGATTGCGTCTTGGGGCCGAAACATTTTATAAAATACAGTATGCGCCAAAAGAATGCAATACTGAAACTCGCGAATCTCGAACGCGCATGTGCGTTTGTGGACGGGTCATAGCTCCAGCCGCAAGTGATCCCAGTAGTGAAAAGGAAGTTGTGTTGTGCAGTTGTTGTTGGAAATGGGTCTCTCGAGAAAGGAAAAAGTATTCATAGTTGAGTATTATTTCCGCTCATACGGAAGTGGTCGCCAGACAACTCCCTTCCCTGGTTTTGAGCTGCCAGATGTTATCGTCCAGAAACCGCTACACAGTACACGTGTGACGGTAGGGTGTGCCGTCTCAGCACGGTATATTAGGCCCCTATTTCATTGAGGATGAGGAAGGCAATGCTCTTACCGTCACCCAAGAACGCTACAGGGACATGGTGATCGGACCATTTCTTCGGGATTTGAGAAGTTTCTGTCGTACAAGTGGCCTTCACATGAATAGACAGTGGTATCAACAGGACGTCTTTTCATTTCAGTACTGATAATTTTGACGCATATTGTATTTTAGACATGAAATAAGTGGTATTTAACCAATCGGCTCTACAAGATTTTCTGAGAAGTAGTGGGGCTGGAACGAGGTCCACTTAGCCTCGTTAGGAAAACTGAGGAGCCATTTCAAGGAAATGGCGGCTCCGGGCTAGAAAACCGAAATTAACGTCAGTGGGGATTTGTTGCGCTGACCACGTGACACCTCTATCCGCTAAAAGTTGACACTAACTTCGCCGACAAGCGGCGTTCGTTCGGTCGGTATAGTTCGCTTGAGGACCATTCTTCCTAGCGTACTGATGTTTTCAGCAACCGATATAGCTTAGAAAGAGAGAAAACGGTGAGGGTGGGTAATCTCGCTTACCCTATATGTCCGTTAGAGTTTTGAGATATATTTAATTTTCCTAATTCTTCGTATCAGGAATCTTCCTGGGGGGTAAAAGGCTGTGGCCGCGTAAGGCTGACAACCTTACCGCTATCTGTGAGCCGACTGTGTTGAGAAAATATGGGAGCCTCGACGTCACGAAGACTTCAAGATAATCGCAGTTCTGGCAGAAACAACTGCTACATGCAAATTAGAGATATGGTGGAACACAAGCCATATAATACTGGTAAACAAAGTTGCCGAGCAAGACGAGTCAGGTGGAAACTTTCTTAATTTGTATTTGGGAGATGGCCCGTTCAAATCTCGACCGGAACATCCATTATCCTGTGTCTTTTATACCATGAAATCTAAGCACACAGCTGAGCTGCCTGCTATCGTATGAGTCCTCTGTCCTATTGCAACTCAGCATTAATCCAATACGGACCCGGGGTATCTCAG